CCTACGCGTGCATATAAAGAACGTCAAAAACGGAGCTTGTATGCGAAAGTTATGGATTTTAGAAGTTTTGGCGCGAAAATTGAGAAAAAATCCCCAAAAACCGAGGAATTCCGCACACGTGGACTTCGGCCACGTGTCCTCGCTTCGCATCCGACGCATGTCCGGAACCTGCTGAGTCACCGAAGCCACCTGGAGAGGCGTGTCATGTTCTTCTCGAGTCCGAGGTTCGGTCCAATAGGAGGTTGCCCCGTGTCCGATCTCGGTGTGTCATCAGCAACGTGTCTGAACCGGAGAGCTGTCCGAAGTGGTCCAATCAGAAGCCTCCAGCGAGGCCCTCGCATGCGCAGCCCTCGTGCGAGCCACCTGTGTGCCTTCGCCTCCTGCTGCCGTGTGTCCCTCGCTGCCGACTCCTCTTTCTCAGCAGACCTTCGGACCTCCCTATAAATAGAGGGCATGCGAGATTGCCCGGGTACTTTTGGAAATTAGCCATTTTTCACCCCTTTTTCAATATTTTAGCCATTTCCACTTCCCCCGAAGCCCCGGTATCGATTATAACCCCCGGAATACGTCCCGAAGTGCCCGAAGGCCCGAAAAAATTATCTTTTCGGTTTCGAAGCCCGACCCTTCGCAGAGCCCGGTTTCTCAATAAAACTCCCGGTTTTATTAGAAACGATCGTTTTAGGAAACGAATTGCTGCCCGATTTTCATTAAATCAAGTGAGTGTGTAGTTACTTTCACCTTACACATAGATATAAAGTATTTTACATAAAATACATGCTGTGTGAATATATATTGTTTGTTTATTTGAGATGGGTGTTGAAGGAATGATTTATACAGGTTTTTAAATAATTTAAACTGTATATGTATTTTTATCTACGAAAAATGTTGGGTAAAACATGGGTAGATGAAATAGTGGGTGTGATGAAAGGTGAGTTGGATAGATGAGATGATCAGTGATAGAGATCATGAGTTGAGAGTGAGTGGTGGGATGAGATCATGAGTTTGATAGTGAGGGGTGAAATATGAGAAAAGCCCTTACCCAAACGTTGGCGTGAGTGGTGTAATATGAGAAAAGCCCTTACCCAAACGTGGGCCCCCGTCATTCAGCAGAGTATGGATGACAACCATGGACTATTATAGATGGTCTGTGGAACACTAGCAGGCCCGCAACCTGTAGGTGTATGAACTATATGTTCATTTGCTGTACTCTAAAAACCCATTGACATGTATTGCAGGGGGGGAATACCTGTAAATAATACTGTCGATAAATAAGAGCTATGGACTTAGCACATGTTGAATAAACCTTGGCAGCTATGGACTTAGTGCCCGTTGTATAAACCCCGGTGACGAGGTGACTTCGTGTCTATTCCTTAGGAAGGAGTGATAGTTGATTCTTAGGGTAAAACCTTAAGAAATAAATAATATAATGGGGTTGGGGTAATTCGGTTGATTGATTAATGTTTAAGCATATTAAATTATGTATTGTGGGTTGAAAACCCTATATGCTCACCAGGCTTCCAAGCCTGACCCACTCAGCTGTTTATATTACAGGTAGAGGACCCCGAGCTAGTCGGATGATGATGATGAGTGATTTTTGGATTATAGGCCAGTAGTTATAAATAACTGTTGTAAGGCTTATAATGTCTTGTTTATGCTTTTGATCTGTATCGGAACATGACATCCCGAGGTTTGATATAAAAGGAAATTATATATTTCTTAAAGAAAGGTTTTGACAAACTTTTATCATGTATTGTTTTGGGGACCAATTCCGCAACATCTTTTAAAAAGATTTCTCTGATTTTATTTTAAAAAGCATAAATTAAATCGGTCTTTTCTGGCCGAGAAATTAGGGGATGTCACAGATAGGGACCCCTCACCCAGTTTTTCAGCAGTCAGCCATACGAGGTGAGTTTCCTTCCAGTAGTAACGGGTCTACGACCACAATGCCGGCCCGTTTAAGTAGTAGAGTATGTCGGGGTGAGCCCGATGCCGGGGTTAGCCTGATGCAGTTTATATGTTTCCGGACCTCGGTCGGATGTCGGGGCGGTCCCGGGAAGTAGTTAAGTATGCTTGATGTCTTTGTGATTCATGCATGTATATGTGTTATGTGTTATGTGTTATGTATTCCGGGGTAAGCCCGATGTCGGGGCAAGCCCGATGTATGTTAGTTTACATGCTATGTGATTATGTGTTCCGGGGTAAGCCCGATGCCGGGGTAAGCCCGATGTATGTTAGTTATTATACCATGCATTATATGTTCCGGGGCAAGCCCGATGTATGCTAGTTTATATGTTATGATTATATGTTCCGGGCTTCGGTCCGATGCCGGGGCAAGCCCGACGCAGATCATGTGATTATGTTATGTATTTATAATATATGTTATGCTGTGTATGTGCCGGGGTAAGCCCGATGCCGTGGTGAGCCCGATGCCCGATGCGGTCGGATGCCGGGGTGAGCCCGATGCCCGATGCGGTCGGATGCCGGGGTGAGCCCGATGCCGGGCAGGAGTCCGATGTCGGGATGCGTCCCGATGCAGTTGGGAGTAGTCCTAGAGTTATGTTATTTGTGCTTTGTATGGTATGTGGTAGTTTGGGGAGCTCACTAAGCTTCGTGCTTACAGTTTGCAGTTTTGGTTTCAGGTACTTCAGCTAGTAAAGGGAAGGGCTCGAGTTGATGGCATGACACACACCACAGTTTTATTAGCCTGGGAGTTTACTCTGATGATTTGTTATGAGATTTGATTTGAGACAGATAATAAGATGTTTTACGATACATGATTTATGATTCTACTTATAACTTTGGATGATTTATGATTTTAAAAATGGTTTGAAAACGAAATTTTTGGGTCATATTTTTGGGATGTTTCAAAAGGAAAACCAACTGACATGTTCATATAAAAAACTATAAAAAACCATGACATGTTCATATAAAAAACCATTGACTAATGACAAACCAATCAATACAATAGTAGGTTAGTGAGGTTGTACGGATTCTAGGGAAGAATATGAGTTTTATTCTTAAAGCTTAAGCATATATGAACAATTCCTCTATGGATAAAACTCATATTCTTCTCTATAATCTATACAACCTTACATAACCTACTATTTTATTGATTGATTTGTCTTCAGTCAATGATTTCTTATATTAACATAATAGTTGGTTTTCCTTTAACCTACTTTTAGGTAGATTGTACTAAAGTGTTCAACACATAATTTTAATATCTTATAATACTTGTAAGGGAAATCTCCAGAAAAGTCCTAATATTTTACGATACTTTACGAAAAAAATCTCAAACTAAAATTTGTTTACATTAAAACATGAATTGCCAATAAAAATGACGATTTGACCATTTTTTTCTCGATTTCTTGGTTTCATTGTTGATCTGGTTCCATTAAAGTCTCATTATTTTATCCTAATTTACGAATAAGTCTCAAACTAAAATAAAGTGATGATTTGACCGTTTTCTCCATGTAACATACATTTTACCAGTTTTATTGATGACTTGGACGCCCAGTCATTAAATGAGCTGATAAGATGGATACGATGGATTATATAATGCTATCTTTTACCATAAAACTTGATATCCATCTCATCAGCTCATTTAGGACTATGTATCCAAGTCAGCAATGAAACTAGTAAAATGTGTGTTTCCAGGAAAAGGGCGGGAAATTAGCTGATTAGATGGATATACCGGGTTACATAAGATTAAATAGACAATTTGAAATTTGTTATAAAGTTAAAAAAATGACAAAATTGTTGATAGTTTATATAATTATTGCAGTCTTCGTTGAGTGCATTTTATCTTCTAAAACATACACAATACAACAAGATATCGAGTTTTATGGTAAACATAACATTATATAACCCAACATATCAATCTCATCAGCTCCTTTAATAATGACTAGGCGTCTAGGTCAACAATGAAACTGGTAAAATATATGTTACCGGAGAAAATAGCCAAATTATCACTTAATTTTTATTTGATACCTATTCGTAAATTATGGTAAAATAATGAGACTTAAATGGAACCAAGTTAGTAACGAAACCGGTAAATCAGGAAAAAGGGTTAAATCATCATTTTTACTGATAATTCATGTTTTTTTATAAACAAATTTTAGTTTGAGACTTTTTTGTCAACCAGAGTAAAATATTAGGACTTTTCTAAAGATTTCTCATACTTGTAATATAAATTTGTTTGAGAAATAGACTATATGGATGATGATGTGTTCAAAATGATGCTAACGTCATTTTTTTGTCGCAACTAATTGGTTATAAATATGTTTAATCCTTAGTTTTATGGAGCTTAATGACGTTTATTCCTATGCATAATTTCAACCAAGAAATTTCTAGAATTTTAATTAAATGGTAAAATAGTTGAAATAAAAAAATAGGACTTTTTCATCAACGGACCAAATAATGAGACTTTTATGGAGGTAATCAGGTAACCAAGTAAAATAATAGTTTACTGGTAAAAAGTGTTGATTTGAATTTTTATCAGGTAATTGGAATTTTTTGTTAACAAATATTTTTAGGTGTTCTGTCTAAACTTGACCAAATATTGAAATTTTTCTAAAAATTTCTTATGAGATCTTGAGTTAGCCAAAAAACTGTTTGACTGCGTTCAGTCAAAAAGATATCAAACAACCCTTTTAAAAAAACCACTCCAAAAGAATGATATCTCCAACTTATAAAACTATTTTGACCCAACTAATAAAACAATAAACCATATGGATCATACTTTTTAATTATATTGAAGAAATCTTTTATCACTTTACAAAAGAAGGACGTGGAAACACTCAGTTGTAATTTTTTATAACGTATATAAAAACCTTATAAAATCCAAAATAATCTAGCCTTCCCTTTTTACCTATTTTCCACCTTTTGCTTTATTTGTTAAAATACGCTCCACCCACCCTATCACACACCTCCACTCTACCTCGGCTATATAAAGCTTACAATCTTCATCCTCTCAAGTTTACTAACAATTACAAATTACAACCATGACTGGAAACATGAATTTCATCTCACGTTCATGTTCATGTTCATTTCGATTGTTTTCTAAATCCCATGACGATCAAGAATCAAATTTCCGATCTCAATCGTTTTCGCAAGATTCTTTCAACTCATCTTTCTCCTCCAAATCAAGCCTTCCACCGTCAATCTCCGCCATGATCGCAACATCAACCACCCTTCACCACCACTGCATCTCCACTTACAAACCCAATTCGTCCGACATCCTCTCTCTAACCCTTTCTGGAAACCACCTCATCAGCGGCTCATCCACCCATATCCACCTCTGGCCCCGCCACCCCGCCACCACAAACACCACCACCAAATTCATCTCAATGCCGTGTAACAGCGCCGTCAAATCTCTCCATATTCTCAACGAAAACATACTAATCAGTGCACACCAAGACCATAAAATTCAAATATGGCATATCAACAAGCTCAAAATCATAGCAACTTTACCAACCATAAAAGATAGATTAGCCAAGATTTTGTTTGCAAAAAACTACGTTGAAATTCGCCGGCATAAGAAGCTCACCTGGATTCATCATAACGACGCTGTTTCTTCATTAGCGGTGTCACTTGATAAATCTCTGATTTACTCCGCTTCATGGGATCGAAGTTTTAAGGTTTGGAGAAGATCGGATTTCAAGTGTTTGGAATCAATTTCAAACGCACACGACGACGCCATTAATGCCATTGTATTATCCGTTGAAGGCTTCGTTTACACAGGTTCAGCAGACAAGAAGATCAAAGTGTGGGGGAACAATCGAAGAGATAAAAAACACTATCTTATAGAAAAATTGGAACACCATAAATCCGCTGTGAATGCTTTGGCTTATGATGATCATGTGTCTGTGTTAATCTCCGGAGCTTGTTCAGGAGTAATGATAGCAAGCGAGAGAAACTCCGGCGGCGGAGATGGTGGACATATGTCGGTTGTGGGAGCACTTTTGGGGCACAAAAAGGCGATTCTGTGTGTGAGAATTGTCGGAGAATTGGTGTGCAGTGGATCTGCTGATAAGACAGTGAGGTTATGGCGAAGATCAGTGGGGAAAAGCTATTCATGTTTGGGTGTTTTGGAAGGTCACGGTGGACCGGTGAAGTGCTTGGCCATGGCAGCGGAAAGCTCAGGCGATGGTGAAGAAGAAGGAGGAGGGTATATGGTTTACAGTGGTAGTTTGGATAGTGACATTAAAGTATGGAAAGTTAGGGTTCCATCCGCCGTGGAAGAAGATTCTATGGCGAATTTTGTTAGTTGATTTTGCTTTATTTTCTATATATATATATATATATATATATATATATATATATATATATAATATATATATATATATTAATTTATACAATATAGATTTAATCAGAAGTATCAACTATTTAACGGTGTTTAGAATACTTTGTTATAAAAGATTAAAATCCATGTATAAGAATTATAGTTCATAAAAGTAAACCAGTTTTTTTTGTTTGTTTTTCGTATAAGGTTTTAATGATCACCTTGAGATCGTATCTTGTATTTCACGGTATTTATAATACATACAATATACAAAGAGATAATAACAAATACTAGATTACAGGAGATAATATAAATCTTATCTATTCTTAAGTTTTATCTCTAATACCCCCCTTCAAGCGTAGAGGTGGTGGACCAACACGTAGCTTGGCACGAATTTGCTTAAATAAAGGTCGTGGAAGACTTTTGGTGAAGATGTCCGCAAGCTGTAGATTAGTGGGCACAAACCGTGTGTACAACTTTCCGGAAGCAACTAGCTCACGAACAAAATGATAGTCAATATCAATGTGTTTTGCGCGTTTATGAGATATTGGATTTTGACTGAGGAACAAAGCACTCCTGTTGTCACATAGCAAAGTGGGACGGTCCGGAGGCAGAGCAAAAAGTTCTCGTAAGAGATGAGTTATCCACACTATTTCAGCTGCCATGTTAGCCATAGCTCGGTACTCCGATTCACAACTCGATCGAGAGACAGTAGACTGCTTTTTTGCACTCCAAGACACCAAGTTGCCGCCAAGAAAAATAGAATAACCATAGGTAGATCTCCGTGTTTCAATACAACGTGCTCAATCCGCGTCTGAATAACCAAGAAGAGAAGTAGAACGAGGATGAGTGAAACATAGCCCATAAGAGAGAGTACCCTTAACATATCGGAGGATCCGCTTTACAGATTGAAAATGATCGACGGTAGGAGCATGAAGGAATTTGCTGACTTGATTAACAGCATATGACAAGTCAGGACGCGTAATTGTTAAATATTGCAATGCACCTACTAAAGAGCGATATGTGGTTGGATCAGAAAATGGCGATCCAGTGGAAACAAGCATATCTGTGGTTGATAACGGAGTGGATACTGGTTTGCAGTCAAGAAGATCAGCTCTAACGAGAATATCATGTGCATATTTGGACTGAGATAGAAATAGCCCATCATCCATATATGAGACCTCGAGACCCAAGAAATAGTTTAATGTTCCAAGGTCCTTAACAGCAAATTCCGAGTGAAGTTTGGAAATAAACTTGCGAATAAGAGGTGGATGATTACCGGTAATGATGATGTCATCAACGTAGACAAGTAAGTACAAGATGTGAGAGTCACGTTTGAAGACAAATAGAGAAGTATCAGCTCGACTGCATATAAAACCAAGGCTAACTGGTGGTTGCTCCATGAAAACTGTTTCAGTGAGTTTTCCATTTAAGAAAGCATTGTTTACATCCAATTGATGTAAGGACCATTTATGCATGACAGCGAGGGACAACACAATACGAAGTCACAACTTTGACGACAGGACTGAAAGTATAAGTATAGTCAAGCCCAGAAATTTGACTGAATCCTTGAGCAACTAAGCGAGCCTTGAATCTGTCAATAGTGCCATCAGAATTGTATTTTATGCGATAGACCCATTTAGAACCTACACCATTCGATTCACGTGGACGAGGCACCAATTCCCAAGTATGATTGGAGCATAAAGCTCGCATCTCATCTTCCATTGCAGATAACCATCGTGGGTTTTTGGCAGCTATTTTGTAGCCACAAGGTTCTTTAGAGGCAAACAGAAGTTGATGTAAGGGAGACTGATTGAGAATAGCAAGATCAACTATGTGTCGTGGTTTCACAATACCATCTTTTAGGCGTGTTATCATCGGATGAGTATTGTGATGAGCAGCTGTTGTGGAAGGCATATTTGGTGATGGGTTGGATTATCAGCAGGAGAAGGAGAACCTGCGGTTGTTGGCTGCTGTAGCGGTGGGGATGGGGCTGCTGTACGATCAGGATTGGCAGCCGAGCTAGGCAAATCAGATGGCGGACATAAAGAACATGGAGAAGTAAGGGCTGTTGTAACTGTGGGCGTCGAGTCAGAAGGAGATGAGTCCAGAGATGATGGATCAGATAGCATAGAAGAAGAAGCATCATCAAATTCAGAGAAAACCATTTGTGCATGATCGGGTGGAGAAGTAATACCAGTGAAAGGAAATTGATTTTCATCAAAAACCGCATGACGAATTATGTAAATACGCCCGGATGTGGGATCTAAACAGCGATAACCCTTATATTGTGAGCTATAACCAATAAAAATACAAGAGGCACTCCTTGGTTCCAACTTGTTTGCTGAGTAGTTACGTAAATAAGGAAATACGGTGCACCCAAACGCTCTAAAAACATTGTAGTTGGGAGAGGAGTGATAAAGTAGCTCAAATGGACTTTTGTAATCTAGAAGCTTAGAGGGAAGGCGGTTGATAATATAAGTTGCTGAACAGAATGCATCAACCCATAAAGTAGTTGGGGCACTCGAATTAAACATCATTGCAAGGCCAGTTTCTGTAACATGACGGTGCTTTCTCTCCGCTCTACCATTCTGTTGCGGTGTGTGGGCACATGATAATCGATGATGTGTGCCATTGTTGACTAAAAGGGCGCTAACATGATTATTAAAAAATTCGGAACCACCATCTGTTTGAAAGGTCTTCAATTTGCACGCAAATTGAGTTTGAACAAAGGAAAGAAAAGCTGTTAAAATCGTAATAAAATCTTATTTGAGCTTTAGTGGATAGAACCATGTAAAGCGAGAGAAGTCATCAACAAACACACAATAGTATCAATATCCTTCTGTAGAGACAACGGGTGCAGGACCCCAAAGATCACAGTGAACTAAGTCAAGAACTTGAGAAGCTCGTTTAGCGTTAAGTTGGAATGGTAGTTTCTTGCTTTTTGATAATTGACATGAAGAACAAACATGTGGTTTAGGCAATAAAGATGTAACAGATAAAGCACCATTTTTATTCAATAAAGAAATAATGTCAAATTTCCTTTGTTGCACATGATTTAGAAGATTGTAAACTTGAAAGAAAAACTTTGTGTCCTTGCTTGAGCACGTACAAACCATTCTCATATTTGCCCCTTGCCAAGATTTCCTTTGTTGCCCGATTCTGAATTGCAAAGAAAGGATTAGAAAATAAAACATCAATCGGAGAATCATGTGTCAGTTTACTGATGGATAGCAAATTCTTGGTGATGTTGGGGACAACAAGAACATCACTAAGTTTAATATTTTAAGAGAGAGATTTGTGACCAATATGTGAGATAGAAGAGTAATTACCATTACCAAACATGACCTGATCATTACCAGGATAATGATTACTGGAGTCAAGATTGTTGGGAGAAGAAGTCATGTGAGTGGTAGCACCTAAATCAACATACCAATCAGGTGAGTTGTTAGTCACATGACACTGAGCCTGAAAGGCCTGTGCCAGATTGTTGTTCCTAGGGTGTTTTGTCAAGCTTGAAAAGTACTTAATTCGGGACAGGAACTTGCATAATGACCATTAGTTCTGCACAATTGACAATGTGGAGGTCGACGTCCCCTACCACGTCCACCAGTTTGACCACCACGTTCGCAACCTGTGTTACGATTAGAAGTAGAAGAACCTCCATGATAGGATTGTCGATTTGCTGTAAAAGCAACAGTAGGTACAGTTGAACCATGGATCGCTTTGAGGAATAATTCGTGAGACTCAACTTGAGAGATTAAGTCACGAAAAGGGGTAGGAGGTTTAATAGCACGATATGTGGTTGAAAAAGTTTCAAAAGATGCGCCAAGACCGCAAAGAAACCAATGATTTTTGTCAGTTGCATCAACAGGATGGCCAATTGCTGAAAGCTGATCACAAAATGCCTTTGAATTTAGCACCGAATTCAGAGACTGTGGAAGTACCTTTCTGTAGCTGTCGAAGGTTATCTTTGAGAACATGCATTCGTTCATGGGAGTCTTGGAGATAGGCAATCTGCAAGGCAGTCGAGATTTCATAGGCAGTAGTGAGGCCGAGAGTTTCAGCCATGACAGCCTCGGTGAGAGAGGCCTGAATGATTAAAAATGCCTTCTGATCATCTTGTAGCCATGAAGTGTAGGCAGGATTGGGACTAGAAGAGCCGGCAGCATCAGGGGCTGTCGTTTTGGAGGGGGCAGCAATAGTGCCATCAATATGGCCTGATAGCTTCTGATAAGCAAGCAGAGTAAGTAACTGATTACGCCAAAGAAGATAGTTGGTGGGGGAGAGTTTGACTGTAATCATATGAAGAATAGTGTTGAGGGAGAGGGAAGAATCAAAAGAGGAGGTGTCGCCGGCCATGATGAAGAAGGGAATAGAAAACCTAGTCGGATACCATATAAGGTTTTAATGATCACCTTGAGATCGTATCTTGTATTTCACAGTATTTATAATACATACAATATACAAAGAGATAATAACAAATACTAGATTACAGGAGATAATATAAATCTGATCTATTCTTAAGTTTTATCTCTAATATTTCGGGAGATCTGTTTTGACGATAGGACTTTTGATATGAAAAATCTTTAAAGATGTCAAATAATTTCGGTTTGGCTTTGTTTGTGATGATTTCTTGTTTGTTAATGTTCAAAGTTTTTTTTTTGTACCCGTAACAATAAGAAATCAAATTTGCAAAAAAATATAAAGTCTATAAATCTTTTTTTTTTTACCCTAAGCATGTTTTTTTTTCATATTATACATATTCATGTAGAAAAAACGTCTTTATACATGAAAAAAAAGTTAACTAAACATCGAATAAATATGTTTTTTTTAAATATAAGTACGTACTTTTATATATAAATACATATTATATTTCTATACTTCTAAAAACGTAAAATTCATTCCTAACTTTAGTCGACCTTTAACCTCCACCAATGAGCTTAGCGTTTTAGACTAGGGTGAGCAACAATACCACTGATACCTAAT